AAAACCAGGGAACAGTATTCAGCGTTCGAAAGGCATAGACAAGTCAGGATTTCAGGCTCAGGGTCTCTCATCCGGCACATATACACACAGATATACACACATACACACACATACAGAGTTAATTACATTACACACACCATACACAAAGTGCAAACACAAACATACAGCTACGCATCGACCGTACACACATGCAGTTACACACACACAACACACATGCACAGTTACACACACACAACACACACTCAGTCACGCGCAGTTCGCACACGCACACAGTTATACGTGCATTGTACACTCGCAGTTACACACACAACACACACACAGTTACACGCATCACGCAGACACGGTTACACACACACACACACACATCACACAGACACGGTTACACACACATCACAGACACAGTAACACACACATCACAGTCACGGTTACGCACACATAACACACACAACGCACACACAGTTACACATGCATCACACAGTCATGGTTACACACACACACACACGCAAGGTTACCCACAACATGCCCCTGCAGATCCCGTTCCTCCCCATTAGAGGAATTTGTCTCGCAGATCACTGTGTTCCTCGTTATGACAGTCCATATAATGATACTGTCAGCCTGAGTCATTGACCACTTTCAAGTGCGTTATCAACCGCTTTGAAGGAGCATTCCAGTATTGCTAGCTGGAGGCAGAGCGAGGGAAGAAGCCAGACCTTACAGAGATGCCAACAGAGAAATAACAGAACGAAACATAAAAATGTCGGTGGACAAGGCAGATTCAAGCGTAGAAAGCCAAAGTCCTGGCCTGCCCCCCAACTGATGAATTTTACTGTAAATCTCTCCACTTCTCATTGCAGTCTGAGTCAGTAACGGAACAACGCACTGTTCCTCGAGCCACTCGCCTCAACAATAATAAACACAAAAGGCCTACAAGCCGCGGGGCAACGAAAGCCCATTTGAGGTGCGGCGGATGAATGTGAAACTTGCGCACGCACAGAGCAACGCAGAGAATACCTTCTGCACCAAAGAACCTTTTTCCGCAATGGATGCGATACGCACCCAGTTCCGCGCGCGCCCCAGCACGCGCACACAGTTGCATCGAACAACAGTCCTGGCATGCGATACGGCGCCTTATCCCGTCGTTGAGACGTCTCGAAGCGCCTCGCAGAATACATTGTAAAGTGGAGTGACTGTGTATTTTGTGGGCGAAACGCGACAGCCAATTGCGCACAGCGTCGTGGATTGAGCGAACAAATGTTTTTTAGGGGGCGGGGAGAGGGATTATTAACCCCAGAAAGCGATCTGCCAATCGATTAACAACCGGGTTCCTACTCACTGCAAACTTGCCTAAGGTTTCGCCCTGCCCGGGAATCGAACGCTGGTCCTCACGCTTGCGAGGCGAGCGCTCTAACCGCTGCGCTCCAGGACTCCGCGTGTGTACTCCACACGTGCCTGATTTCTTAATCGATCGGTACGCGGTGGCCACGTAGACACACTGGAGATTGCTCCCTATCGTTGCCATGCCACGGGGGAGGCTGAGGTCAATTCTGACTGTCCGAGAGGTGACGAGCAGGGGATTTGTGCCTGATCGTTGCGAATCGGTGACCCTGCAGAAGGGAAATGATTCTTTTTGTTAACTGCCGGTCAAGTCTCTTCAAGGTTAACAGTGTATTGTTCTGTGTTCTATTCCACTTTTCCCGTCATAAATATACTGTATAATAATTGAGGGGGAAAGGCGACGCATTCGCTGAAAGGCTGGAAAGTGAAGGAGTTCCCATGGTTGCAAAGGTACAGATGTGAAGCCGCAGCTGTACGTCTCTGGGAGGCGTGTGTGTCGGGTGGGGTGGCGGGGGGGGCGCGCGGGGTAGAGGAGGGGTGAGGTGTACATTGTGTAGTTGAATAGGCAGAGGGTGGAGTTGAATCGTTGTAGCTGTTAAAGATCCCAATGGCACGATTCGAAAAGAAAAGAGAGTTTCTCTCTCCCTCGGTGTCCCGGCCAATAAATCCCCCCCCCCAAATAAAATAAAATTGGTCACTCAGTCCACGGCTGTTTGTGGGACACTGCTGTGCGCAATTGTGCTGCTACAAATAGACTTGATAAGGCGCTAGACTAAATGTGAGGATTATTATTATTATAGTCAGAAGTCTCCCTTTCACATTGACCCCTTTGCTCTTATGGATTTGGCCGCATGATGCTCAAAGGGAATTTGCTCACGCACAGTCACCGCACTTTTACTGCCTACACCGCAAAGCGCTTTGAGAAAAACAACAATAGTAATAACAATAATCCTTGCATTTTGATATAGCGCTTTTCACGTCGGGAGGACGTCCCAAAGCGCTTCACGGAACACACTGTAAAGTGAATTGACTGTATATTTGTGGGCGAACAACGACTTATATTATTAATTTCTTCACAATAACAGCCCCTTTTGAAGGCCAGGCCTGCTCTGTGTGTGTGTGAAGGTCGGCAAGGTATCCCCCACCGTGCTCTGAGTCCCTGCCACTGACTAAGACAAACCCTGGGATTTTCCACGCAAGCTGTTCCGGTGATTAAAGCCTGACTCAGTGCTGGGAGGCATTCAGGAAATCAGGTTGCGTGCCAATATTGTAGTCGTAGATTGTTGCTGTTGCCATCATCCAGCGCTTCACACGGTTCCCTTTACCAGGTCACAAGAGCTCTTTGCTTTCCTTCCCCTCTTAAAAAAAACAATACTCTCTTCCCCCTCTCTCCCTGCACTGCTTTGAACATGCAAGATAATAATACCGATTATCCTTGCGTTTGATACAGCGTCTTAGCACGTCGTCGAGACGTCTCAAAGTGCGTCGCAGGATGTACTGTAAAGCGGATTGACCGCGTATTTTGTAGCGAAATGGAAAGACTGCGTTGCGGCTTTAAAAAAATCACCTGGGGGAGGATGGGGTTGGGGAGGTGGGGGGGGGCTATAGAACCATAGAAATTTGCAGGACGGAAGAAGGTCATTCAGCCCATCATGTCGGTGTTGACTCTTTCACAGGGTCGCAAAGTCAATGACTAGGAGAAGATGGAAGTTGCTTTGGGACAGTCTTGAACCCTTGTTTAATCGAGACTGTCTGGCTTTCCACAAGGGTCTAAGATGTTCAGGAGGATGTTAAAGATCCCACAGCGCTGTTCGAAAAGAGAAGGGAGTTTCTCCCCCTATGTTATGGCTGACAATTCTCACCAACCCCCGCCCCCCCCCCCATAAAAATTGATCTTCACTTCACGGCTGTTTGGGGGAATGTTGCCTTGTGCAAATTGGCTGCCACATTCGCCTACAAAAAAGTCACAAAATACACGTACACGCACACACCTTCGCAGTCACCCTGATGTAGTATTTCTGGAGGGGAGATTACCCCTGGTTTTCAACGTATCATATTTCTACGAGGACTGGGTGGGGTGGAAAAAACAGCTTGGGGCTTTCGCAACAAAGAAAATTTGGTCTGAAACTCTTTGTGAATGTCTTTTCCCTAACCATTAAAAAGAGACGTTTAAGAGCCAAGACAATAATTATAAGGTACAAGCTTTGGTCCACTGAAGGATTGCTTCATGCATCAAAGCCTGACAAACATTTGAAAAGTTATTGGTTGGGAGTGCATTCCAAACAGTTCAACTGGTCATAAGAAGAGGGAGAGGAGAGTCAGAGATGAAAGGAGATGTCGCGGAGAGCACCTTAGACAGGTGGATGTAAGATTTTAAACAGGATTAAGAAAGGACACCAGCGGAGCTCGAACCCACAACCTTCTGACCCAGAGCGATCCCTACTGAGCCAGGCTGACACGAGTCCAAAGAACCTCACGCCCCGCGTCGCGGTTTGCATTCCACCCTCCGAGTCACACACTTCCATATTTTTGACGATGCCTTTAAATAACGGATTCAGTGGCAAACGAGGTTGGCAAAGGTGCACTCCCTTCATTGACAAGCGGTGGTACGCCCATCAATTGCACGGCCTGGCGGTAACGCCAAGCAGAAGTCTTTGCCGAATAAGGGGAGCCTCGTAGCAGAACGTCAGCCAGAAATTAGAGTCACATCTCCCAAAGTCCAACAAAATTGCCTCAGGCAGCATTTCTTTTTTTTCCAGCAAAATGGTTTCCTTCTACGTTTTGAATCTGCTAAAGGTTGTAACCGAAGGCAAAAGCAATTTAGGAAAGGAATTCTCCCATCACTTCTCCCCTCTCCTCTCCCAAAGAGCACTTTCCTTCGACTTAAGTCGCCTCCCGCTACCTCCTCTCCCACCACCCCCCTCTCTCGCCTTCCCCCGTGGCAATTCATCCGATCTGGGTCTAGGTCGTGAGAGTTGGCAGGATGTTCACTATGTGGTGCATCATTGGCAGGAGTTGTAGGACAGAGAGAAAGAGAGAGAGAGAGAGAGTAGGTGTCAGCCTGACTCAGTTGGTAGCACTCTTGACTCGAGGTCAGAAGGTTGTGGACTGACATCCCACGCTGGAGCTTTGAATTCACAAATTCCAGGCTGACACCAAAATACAGCACTGCGTTATCGGAAGTGACGAGATGTTAAACTAAGGATCCATCTGTCTCTTTTCCTTTGGGCTATTCAAAAAGAGAAAGGAGTTTCTCCCTCTGCCCCGACCAATAATCTCCCAGAAAACTACAGTTACCACAGTAAATCCTGTGTAAATTTACAGTAAATCCTGTGTAACGCCATGGGACATCCTCCGTACGTGAAAGGCACTATTTAATGTAGATTTGTTGTTGTTGATTATAATTTATTATTATTATTATAAGAGCCGAAATAACTTGGGAGGTTTTCCCAGTTCTTAAAAAGGTCTTCCAAGTCAAGACTGGATTTGAGAATTTTCCCAAATTGTGTGTGAACCTGAATTTTAAAACAACATTGTCCTACAGGCTAAGACGAGATGGAAATTGCAGTCTATTCTGCTATTGTATCACCAAGAATATACTTACTGATTAACCGTGGAGTGACTGACATGGGATTGAACACGTGCTGTGCTTTGCTCCTGTCTAGGTCTGACCTACCAAGCTCCCGAGCTGACCATTCGCAGGAAGGAGCTCATTGTGGAAGCAAATGAAACCTTCGTAGTCACGTGCAGGTGAGATCCGAGTTGGCTTAATCTCATATTGTCAGAGTTTTCACTGTTTCCCCCTTGTCCTCTTCCCCCACCTGCCAGTCAGCCTCACCCACCCACCCTGACAGCAAGTGTTGGGCATTTATCGTATAACCATATATGGTTTATTTACAGGGGCCTGAAACCCATGAGCTGGTCTGGACCCAACCTTGAAGATGGGGCAAAAGGCAGATTCCGTACAACCAGCCACAAGTGTAAAGACAGGTTATGTAGCACCCTGACCCTGACCAGGACCCAGTACAACGATACAGGATATTACACTTGCTACGATGACACTTCTCTAGGAACTAAGAACCTTGGAGGCCGCGTCTATTTATTTGTCAGAGGTAAGAAATCCAGTTTTAATTTTAATCCCACCCCTGTCTCAATGAAACTTGCAATCAGACGTACAAATGGAGCTCCCCTGACTGAGATACTAAATCCTAGTAGACCTTCAAATGCAACTAAAATAACACAGGGGGAAACCTACACGCACAAACACATACCACTGAAGATGAGCTTAATTCAGACCATAACTCACCTAACTTACAAAAATAGGCCAACTGAGACTACAGTGTGATGCCCAAACTCACTCGTGGTGGTGTGTCAAATCAGTACTCAATACTGCAAAGATGACTGGAAGTAATCACATTGTTTTTCTGCGAGTATCCTGTTGAAAGGAACTTGACAATCTGACTTTATTCCGAAAACTCGGAACCACAAATAGCCCAAAATGTACAGTATCTTTAAGAATAAGGAAACGCAGTCTCACAATAAGGTATATTTCGAAATAAAGGATGTGTAACATCAAGTGTTACTCATGTCATTGCCAGCTTTAAATAGAAGAGCAGAGGTGGATTCAGAGAAGTGAATCCAAGGGGACTTGGTGAGACAGGAGATAAGTCAGATCATTTGAAAGGAAATGGTTGCTGCTCTTGCTGTTCTCTTCTGCTTGTGAAACGGACTGTGAATATATCGGAAATACTGCTCATTCCCTATTGTTTCCTATCACTCTTTTTTGTGTGTGGTTTGGTTGAGTTTCCCATGTAACGCAACAGATCAGTCTGCCGATCGGGCTCCAGCTCTGACTGAGATGTTCAGACACTGCAATGGCATCCGTTTGACACCGTGTGACTCGCTGTGTGTGTGAGACATTGTGACTCACTGAAGCCTCTTCGCTTAAAATCATTTCAGACACAATAAGTTTGTGAGTTCCCGTATTCAAAGCATTAGTGTACCTAATTATTATCAGTAATATTATTTTAATAGCATCTGGGAAGTTGGACATTTGTAGGAATCCCTTTACCGGGTTGGACAGTCCCAAATTTCTCCCCGTGGACACTTTCGCTTCGATAAGGTTTTGTAGAAAGAAAGAAAGAAAGAAAGAAAGAAAGAAAGAAAGCAATCAATCAATCAATCAATCAATCAATCAATCAATCAATCAATCAATCAATCAATCAATCAATTAATCAACACACATAGAGGGACAGATAATAGACACATGTAATAGTAAGAAGTCATATGAAGGCAATTTCAGTCAGGAGATATTGATATCAATCACTAGCTTCTTTATAAGTCTTATGCTACCACTTGAAACTAGGCATTGCGGTGTTTTAATTTGTCTCGCTTGCGGAGTGACATTAATCAGTGCACGTTACCAGCCTCCCTCGTAAACGATTGCTTGTGTGACTCGCAAGTTGTTCCAGCAGAACACGCAGGCACCAAGGTGCCGATTCGTTTCGCACAAGACGTTTGCACGGGAATACTTAACACGCCATTGTGGCGACTCAGAGGGCTAAAGACAATCATCTTACAATTTACAATTTCCCTCTGGTTGAAAATGTGGACAAGATTGGCTCCGTCTACAATTGCGGGTGACTTGCAGGAAACATCTGTGGCTTGGGAATAATGCGACTTATTACTAGTGTGAAGCTAACAGTCTCTTGTGTTTTACTCTCAAGACAATCAAAACCCTTTCGTGCAGTCCCACCCAGAAATTCCCAAGGTGATAAAGTTGGATGAAAGCAAGGATTGGGTGGTAATTCCCTGCAGAGTCACAGCGCCAGATGTCCGCGTCACTCTGTGGACGGTAAGATTCAGAGTTTTTCTCTATAGCTGCTTCACAACTGCCGCCAAACAAGTTATATATAACCACAAAATGCTGTGGTAAGAATTCACAAGTTGGTGAGTGGTTTGGATGAAGAAGGCTCATTCGGAGGCATTATTTTTGTAGTAGAAATATGCATAAACTGCAAAATAAGCTCACTATAAACTAGCCAAAGGATCTGACGAGGAGATCATTTATATGAATGGACATGATTAACACGAGCAGGTGTTAGTTACTAATTCAGGTTTATTTATTGACACCCGAGCTCCCAATAATTAAATATTTATTCATCGGTGCAGATAACCAGGTGCAAGCCCGCTACAGTTTCTTGCCAACAGCGGAATTAATGGCACCAATAAAATAAATCCCTGAGCAGGATGCTCTGTCTTTCTGATCAATGGGTACATCATGAGTAGCAAATCAGATTAACCACAAAGGCAGTGAATAAGGGAAAAAATATATATGTAAAAGCCATGTTCAAAATCAAGTTGTATTTAACACCGACTTGGATCTGCTGTTAAATTATTGTGTGTGTTTCTCTACGAATGCTTATTTAATAATAATAATAACAACAACAATAATAATAATCCTTACATTTGATATCACGCCTTATCAAGTCTCTGAGATGTCTCAAAGAGCTTCACAGAATATACTGTAAAGTGAATTGACTGTCGTCGAAAAGCGGCAGCCAATTGCGCACAGCGGTGTCCCGCAGACTACTGTGGATTGCGTGACCAAATTATTATTATTATTTTTTTTAATTTGCGACCATCAGTGATGTTGGGCCGGGTTCCAGCTGCAAGGAGCTCGATGTGTAGCACAGAGACAGTCTGTCTGCTTCCTGCTCGCGGAGAGGAAGCGAAGGGAGAGCCTCAAAAAGTCCCATTTAGAAACATCCTCCACGGAGCCTTTAAGATTTTACAGTCTCGAAGCACACCCTTTGTTCCAGAAACACAGGAAAAATAACCGGGAGGTGGAGTGTGGGGAGGGATATTTACGTTTTTGTTCCTGCTTTTTCCTTTGGCAAACATTGACTGAAACATGTATTTCGAAATGCTTATGATGATTCCTAGTATCGGTTTTCTTTCTTTCTTTCTCTGCAACCGTGCCTTCACCTCCCCTCTCGACTCTCTACCCCCTCCTTGCTCGCTCGCTACCTCCATTCCCTCCCCTCCCCCTGACCATTTCCCCCCAATGCTCGGGTCCCGACCCAACTGTCCAGCGCCTTGGGACGTCCTCCCGACGTGAAAGGCGCTCTGTAAATGCAATCTTGTTGCTGTTGTTGTTGCGTACGGGTGCAAGAGGCTAATACGATTAATACACGACTCAGTCGCAAGGCATGGGCTGCCGAAGAGTTTTATTGTTATAATAATAATAACCAATAATCCTTGCGATTCATACAGCGCTGCTTCACTTTAGGAGGATGTCTTAAAACGCTGCAAACTGCAAAGCCTCGTGACTATGTATTTTGTAGGCAAGTGCGGCAGCCGGTTTCATCTGGGGGATCGTTGACCAGACACCAGGAGGGAGGAACTCCCTTCTCTTCTCCCTTTTCGAACAGCGCCGCGGGACCTTTAACCAGGCGCAGGCAGCAGCACAGTTTAACATTTTATCTGAAAGACGATAGCAATGAGCTTGAGTGTCAGCCCAGACAGACAAGGGGCTGGGCGTCGAAAAACATAAACCTTTCGAGCTTAGACGTCGCGCAAAGGAAAAAGTTTCACTTACGTTCAGAGCTGCTTGTGATTTGGGCTTCTTCATGCCCTTGTCATCGAGCCCTAAAGCACCGGTCAGTTTTGAGATCCCCAAAATACTACTGGCCACCCAGTAGCTTATCATTCTCCCCGTCTGCGGAGAGCAGAAACTCTCAGCAATATTGGAAGCGATAAAATAATAATAATAATAATCCTTGCATTTGATATAATATAAATATAAAAGCAGATTGAGCTGTTAATCTTCCGCCTCCGCTTTAGCCGCAGATTTGCCGTTTGCAGATCTTGTTTAGCGGCTGAAGTTCTGCTCAATTTTCGCTGTAATGTGCCTCCGTGTTTGAGTCTTCCAGAGGAAGCAAAACAATGAAGCCACCAGCTGTTTGATCTGACTCAGGCGGCAGATAGCAACCTCGCTGCTCGAGTGTGTGGGATATTAATATTCATATTAAAATTTTGCATTGGTGCCATTTTCTTTGCTGTCGATCCAGTCCATCCAGTCATCATGAGTTTCCTGATAGACCTCTCTGCCAGATCTGTAACTGAGCCTTTAGTTGACAGCAGTTGGATATTTCAGTGTTATCTGTCGGTTTTTCCACACTAGGATTAACTGCCGCGTTTCGCCCGCAAAATACAGTCAATTCACTTCACAATATATTCAGTGAAGAGCTTCGAGACGTTTCAACGACGTGATAAGGCGCTGTATCAAATGCAAGGATTATTATGATCATAAACGGGTATCAGCTGACGTTTTGGCCTCTTGTGGGTTTGAGCGCCACGACTGACTGTTTCCCTGTCTGTCGCGCAGGGCAACAATGTCTTCGAGACGAACGGAATCAACAACACCTGGGATTCTAAGCAAGGCTTTATCGTTCGGAAACCCGAATTCCTTCGCGTCCTCCCTCACATGCTCAAATGCCAGACCGTGGTGAACGACCAGACCTTCGCAACTTACTACCTAATGCACGTCGAAGGTGGGTCCGTTCGAGGAATCGTAGGAGCTTACGGCGCATTGAGACAGCACCGTCCATTCAATCCCACTGCCACTGCCCTGTCCCCGCGCCCTTTCAAGCCTCTATCCCTCACGTACCTGTCTACTTCCCTCTCAAAGTCCACAATGGTCTCTGCCTCTAACACCTCGCTTGGCAGGGCATTCCACATCCCAACAACGTCCCAACAACTCTCTGGGGGAGAAAAATTACTTTTAAGATTTTCCTGTGGCTATCTCGTCTGTCCCTTAAAGTTCCCGATGATTAACGCTGTGGTGCTTTGAAGTGCTCCGGGAGACACTAAGAAGAACGCTACATAAATGCAAGTTGTTGTTGTTGTGGTTGCACTCAGTCCGTACATCCACAGTGCACATTGTACCAACAGCGGAGTGTATCTAACAGCAAGTCAAATCCACTATGTTAACCTGATGTATTTACAGCTGGGATCTGGTTAAGCTTATTCCCATCACTTTCAACTGAAATATGCCACGTTACTGTTCTACCACTTTGTAACCCCTGGAAGTTGTAACATCAGAGGAGAATGATTAATTCTAATGCACTTTTTAAATAACTGAGCACCCGTTTTATCTTGAGAGAATGATGTGATTTCTTTTTTATCCTCAGTTGAAGGAGTTGATAACGTTTGGCTTAACGTCAGTGATAAAGTCAAGATGCTCGCCGGGGAGACTCTGGTTATTAAATGCACAGCAGAAATCCCTCTAAATAGCAGACTCGAATTTCAGTGGTATTTTCCCCGCAAAATGGTAAGTGTTCATCTCGACAAACATTTACCAGACATTTACGGGATCAATTTTAGCGATATTTCTCAATATTTCTCAGTAACTGGAAAGACGTCACCCGGATTCATTTTCAGACTCAAGGAAACCCTGTCCTGAATACACACGGTGACCAAAAAGTCGTGATACCCTTTACAATGTCTAATAAATCTTAAAGAAATGACGATTTTTTGGGGGGGATGGTAGGGTAAGCTGAAAAATAAGACTTTTTGCACCCTGTACGTTGAAATTCTGTCGTTTCTTAATTAGCAAATCCTTTAAGTGATACCCGAAACTTTTCTTTGTGCTTGATAACAAATCGTCGGGTCCGCATGAGCTGAAAAGCTTTTTAACCGACACGCAGCAATGCTTAGGTTTCGATCGGAAGCGAGGTACAGTAGGGACATCCGCAAGACCGTTTATCCCCAAGGACCTGAGAAGGGAAACTGGTCACAGGGTCTGCGAGTGAGATTCCAGCTAAATTATTGTTGTGCACCTCTTGAGAAGTTGCGACGAGGTTGCAAAGGGGTCCCGCTGTGTGTCACTGACAGCCACCCGCGCATGCAGGGCAACACGTCAGCCCTGGGCGAAGGACGCTATGTAAATGCGAGTTGCTGGTGTTGTCCTCGTCGTTGCTGTCATATCCTCCTCGTGTCGGAGGCACAGCACCGTAAAGCAATGCGAAGTCAGTCCCTTTAAAGGAAGCGTTTGAATGTTGCACACGTGCTGTTGGCCTGCGCTGTTTGCATGCACCGTTGCAGGCAGTTGCCGGGTTACTGTTCACACGGGATCATTTTTCGCTGTCAGGCCGCGAACACGTCCAGGTGGGAAAGCTCAAATTCGTCGAGTCACGTCTTTGCCAGCGTCTTGACTTTGGAGAACGTTCAGCGAGAGGACAACGGCACCTACGTGTGCAAAGCGTACAACAAACAGAAAAAGCGATCAAAGACTAAAGTCATTGTGTTTGGTAAGCTATTTATTTACCGACCGACCGACCGTCCGAGGTGCCGGTAAACTGAGGTCCCGTCTATGCTTGTTCAGGTGGACGTTTAAATATATCATGGCGCTTTACGAAAAGAGGAGGGAGTTATTTGTCCCGGCCAACAACCCCCCCTCCCCCACACTCACACCCCACCCCAGATAAAATCGGTCATTCGCTTCACAGGTGTTTGTAGTCCATTGCTGTGCATAAATTGGCTGCTGCGTTCTCCTACAAAATACACAGCTGCTACACCCTGCAGTTATATCTCACAAAGGCTCTTTGAGACGTCCTCCCTCTATCAAACGCAAAGTTTGTTCATTTATTATTAGATTCTAATTCAGCGGCAAGCGAACAATCTAAATCTGAACCGTCTAAAATCCCCGATCAGATTTTCTCTTTATTCATTACCATTCTCTCTCTCTCTCTCTCTCTCTCTCACTCTCCCTCTCTCTCTGGTTGTTTTATTGAGCCATCTCATCTGGTTTCAATTAATAACTGGAGACAGTCCATTATAGTTAATCTCCATCGTACATGCTGAGGTCTTTAATTGCTAATCATTCCCAATTCAAAACATCTGAATTGCCAAAACTTGTCTCAACAAATGGAGAATAATCCCAAGTAAACACAAAGCATGGCTGGATTGACACAAAACATTCATCTCACGCGGGTTTGGAATTTGTGTCAGTCGAGACCCTTGTGGGAGGAAGGGAGAAATGATTTCGACTAATGCTCGGCTCCAGTAAACACTTCAAATCCAGTTTTCAATGAAAAACCCTTGAAAGGCACGCAGGCTTGTGGATTTCCATCTCCCTCGCCCCCCCCCCCCCCTCTCTCCCTTGCTCAGCGTCTCACCCTCACCGTTGTAAAGTGCTCCGAGTTGACGGGTGCTGTATAAATGTTTAGCATCCTACAGCCTCCCTTCAGACCAGCGATTAATCTGGTGCGGTTGCAAATTAAACCCTGGTCTGAAGGGCGCCTGGGGTTATATTATTCCTTGCACCAGAGGAGTTTAAGGGGGGATTTGATCGAGGTGTGCGAAATAGGACAGGGATTGACCGGCCAGAGAGTTGAGTACATGCTTGGCATTTCTTCACACGGAGGGCTTGTGAAGATGTGGAACCCTCTGCCCCCAGAAAGCAAGAGAGGCGGAATCAATAGAATGTTTAGCAGAGAAATAGACAAGACACGCGTTTGGGGAATGGAGATGTTTGGAGCTTTGGCTAGAAGGTGAGGGATTCACATCATTCCTCCTCCGATTGCAGACCGAGCTTTCCTGAAAGCAGATTTCAGAAACGGCTCCACTTTCAACGTGTGGACCGGACGCAAGAAACTGAGATTGGCCGTGAAAGTGGAGGCTTTCCCACCTCCAGAAGTGTCCTGGTAAGGATCTGTTTTCCGTTTCTCCCTAAAATTGCGCTCCGAGATGCTACCCCCAGGTGAAGCCCGCTATATAAATGCAAGTTGGTGTTGTTGTTGTTGAATTCAACTTCCCGTACAGTCTCTCAGCGCTGGAAACTCTCTTTGCCTGTTACAACCATCTGGTCTAAAAGCTCTGCACAATCATGGAAAATTCTTTAATCCGGTCTCAATCAGATAAGGCCAGTCGGTCGGTCACTTCACTGCATAGCTGTTTGAGGAGACATCACAGTGCCCAAATTGACAGCCGCGTTTGCGTACAAAATACACAGCGACTGCCATTCGCAGTGAATTCCTGTGGAGACGTCCCCCTGACATGGCAAGCGCCATATCAAATATTATTATTATTGGGATTATTAAACAGGACCGAGTTTCCGCTTCAGCGCGTTATTATCCTCACAAGCCTCAGTAACACTTGCCTCTTAAACTGAGGTGAGCGTCAGGAAGTGGCCATTCGGAGTCACTTTCCTGTGTTTGAGTAAACTCCGTAAATTAAACACAACATTAAGCTGCGAAGAACGAAAATAGATTTCAATTTTTTAAAAGAAAACACACGCACAGCGGCTAATCAACTGAAAATACGTGACAGAGAGAGTGTCCCGCTGACACAGTGCGGGTCAGGGATGGGGAGACAGGACCTTCCTTTGATCTGCACAGCTCAGTGCCAAGCCTCACGCGCGTCTCATCTAAAATCTGAATCGTTAGGGCTGAATTCTGCTTTGCTTATCGAACGTCAAAGATCCTGCGGCGCTGTTCGAAAGGGAGAAGAATACATCGTCGCTTGCGCTTCGCAGGAAACTCTGGAGAAAGTACTCCGAGGCGTTTCAATGTTCTCGGCGCTGCTGTGTCAAACGCGAGGATGGCTGTCGCGTTATCCTTGCCACGTCATTCTAATGGGCTGCTTTCTGTAACAGGTACAAGAACAGGATACTCATTAGTCCGAATGACACGCTCTTTATCCAGGATCGCTACGCCTTGACTGTGTTAGGTGTGACCAAGAGCTGCGCTGGGAATTATACCATCGCGCTCCGCAACAGGCAGCACGGCTTGTACAAGAACCTCACCTTCACGCTACGGGTCAACACCAGCGGTGAGTGGGTGGTGGGTGGAGGTGGTGGGGGGGGTGTCAGTCGTACGCGAGTCGCTGGTTCCCAGGGCTCCGATCAGTCGTCACAGCCGCCGGGGAGACGAGTGCGCAATGAAAGGCAAGCACCGGTGCAGGCTATCGTCACTTCGCGAAACGTCGCGAGCATTCCTCTGGGAAGATTCGGAGCTCGTTTATACGCCAGCCTCGCTGCTCCATAACTTGGAAAGGATGAATCGCTGACACAGTGCTTTGGATCCAGTTTTCCATCACCGCTGTCCCGCTCTCTCTCTTTCTCTTTCTCTCGCGCTCTCTCTCTCTCTCTTTATGTATTTTTTCCCATCGAAGCCGATTCCGTGGAGGAAAGGAAAACCCCTCGAAAAAACGAGGAACAGAAACATATATATATGTGTGTATAGAGAGAGAGAGAAGAGAGAAAGAGTCTGAGCCAACCACGATGAAAAACAACAGCTTTGTAACGCAGGAATGCTGGTAATAATTACAAGCTGTAGCTGAAACAGACACACGTCTTTTGAAGTAGGCTGTGATATAAAGCTCCAGCGCAATAAGAGAGATTGTCTGTCAGAGGAATTTAAAAAACACGAGGTGACATCTCGCAAAAGGCACTGTATTTTTGCTTCTTATTGGGGAGTGTTGGGAGTCTAGACAGCCAGATCTGATTGCTCCCAGCTTTTTTTTATGTCCTCGTTCTCAAAGTATTGATAAGAGATCGCTCTATGGCATTAAAGCTGGCTGTGTAATTTATTGCAGGAAGTTAGGGATAAACCTGTGCGTTTTCCTTTTCAAGAGGGTGGAGTAGGGGAGATCTATTTTAGGAGGAGATATATATATACACATATATATATATATAGGGCAATTTTACTTTAAAAAGCACAAACCCTCTCTGACCGCCTAGACTGAATGTTGCTACGCTTGCCTACAAATACACAGTCGCTACTCTTTGCAGTGAAACCCTTCGAGATGCTTTGAGACGTCCTCCCGGCATGAAAGGCGCGATAGATAGCAAATGCAAGGATCGTTATTTACTTTGTTGGGTTTCTGGGGAAAATATCCCTGGGCACGTCACCAGTCAGTTGGGATTGCAAGTGCTCTGTGTGCAACGTGGATAGAATAAGCGTGATTAGTTGATGAAAGTAATTCAGATGTATCTGTTGTTTGGCATCAAATTGCCAACTGTATTGAGTCAAACCTTTGCCGCGAGTGAAACAGTTCCCGATTAACACACTGCGCACAAGACAGTAAATTTGTAATCTACTGTTGATTGACGGTCTTTCATCCCTCGCCTCACGTCTCTGCTCTATCTCTCTCTGTCTCTCACACACTCTCTGCACCTTTCCTGTTTCTAATATTTTATAAATGAAACTGAACTCCTTTGCTCCCCTGAACTTTCTTCCCTTGTGTCTCCATGCTCTGTACTTGCCTCTTACAGTCTCTTCCTCTCCCTTTCCATCCGTTTGCACTCTCTTGAAATCACAACCGGGAGATAGCGGGAGACAGGTCGAAGATGCCGTCAAGGATTTGAAAGCAAAGAGGGAGGGAGGGAGGCAAATGGACTTAAGGAGAAATTAATAACTGTATTCCTTGCGTTTCATATGTTGTTTCATCACGACGAGAGGACGTCTCAAAGCACTTCACAGGATTTACTGCAATGTGTAGACCTTGCATTTCGTAGGTGAACGAGCCAGCCAATTTTGTTCAGCGATGCCACGCAGACAGCCATGAAGTGAATGATCTATTTAATCTGGGGCATCGCTGGCCAGAACACAGGGAAAAACTCCCTTCGCTTTTCGAATAGTCCCACGGGATTTTTAACGTCCACCAGAAACAAGCACAAACGGGCACATCACATCCCAAGCACCTCAACTCCATTAATACAGTGCCACCCCCAGCACTGTATTGAAGTGTCAGCCTCGACTATGTGGGTTTCAACGTGGGGGGGGGCTTGAAACCACAACCTTCTAACTCAGAGGCGAGAATGCTATCAACTGAGCCAGGGTGACACCTCCTGCAGAGTTCCAGATAGTGGGATTGGGGGGGGGGGGCGGAGGAGGGGGGGGGACAAAGTGAAAGCTCACCCAAGAATGACAGGGTGCAGGTCTGCTTCGTATAGAGAACAGTCCAATCTTGAAGACGTGATAAGGCGCTATACCAAATGCACGGATTATTATTATTATTATTATTATTACTCTAGTTTGCTGCGAGAGCCAGCGGCGCAGTGACTGGCAGGGCAGAATGCGCAACCTATTGCCAGATTCCTACGAGCACAATTGAAAGAGGATGAGTTATTTTTAGCTTCTGGTTTCCTCTATGTGCAATCAACATCATTTCACAGCGGTGAAGCATTGTATGAATGGAGAACACATGTAGCAGATGGCCCCAGATAAATATCATAACGCACTGTGCACAAGACAGTGAATTTGTAGCCGGCTGTTAAAAATAGGTTGCAAACACCCAAACGTCCTTCTACCCAGTCCTATCAATCCACTACAGTTTCATGTTCACCATTGTAAATTGGGCCATTGTGCTGACACAGTTTCCACCGACTACAACAATGGCAATTTATACAACTCAATAATAATGACAATACGCTGTAACGGACCTGATATTATCGCAAAGAATCAAATAGACCGTACGTGTCACATGATTGATATTGGCTATCCCAAGTGATTACAATGTGAAAGGTAAACACGGTTCCTTTAATCATCGGTGCAACTGGGATCTGTCAATAAGACTATTCCAAAATATCAACCTCCTGCATGAAGTAGTATTTTAAGTTCAAATATATTCAAGCGTAATGTGGCAGTGTTATTGTTCCGGCTGACCCGTCGCTGAAAAAAACACCTAGAAACTACCTCTGCGGAGTGATTTAAACTGTGTTAACATAACAATAATCATAATAACAATAATTAGTTAAGTTAAACTTGTCGTTTCTGTTGTGCTTCTTGTTTGTGTGNTTTTTTGGTGGTGGCGATTGGTGTTGGAAGAAAAGGCAAAGATCATCGAGAACACATTGGGAGAGAAAGGCCCAGAGATCTATCTACTGGGCTACAGAGAGTTTCTCTCCTGCACTGTCACTGGGATACCCACACCTCAGGTTCATTGGGAATGGCAACCCTGCGGCAACGCCAGGTTCCAGGCAAAGTAAGAACCGTTTCCTTTGCTTCTCCCTCAGGGATGTCGTGCTCCGGCACAAAGGGGAAAGGGTGGGTGAGTCAATAGATAGCCGTGTAGCTGTGGTCTTGGGGGGATTGGCGGGGGGAGAGGGGGAGGACTCAGGAACTGGCAAGCAACATTTCTGTGTGAGTTTCACAGGGTTTCTACACTGTAAATACAATTGTTTTGCTTCCGATCTCCTTTGTTCCTGTCCGAGAGTTTATGCTCAGCGTGTTCAAGCAGAGAGGGGGGAGTGAGTGGAACTTTGTGCCTCTGGTAACACATAGATAGCACAGCCCTCATCTCCACTGTCTTAACGTTTGACCTTGAGTTTTAAACTCTGCCTCGCGCCCCCTCCCCACTTCCCTTGCCTCCTTCGAGGCCCGTCTCAAGACCTTCCTTTTCGACCCGCCTTTCGGTCAACGTCCCTCCCTCTTCCTTCCGCAGTGCCCTAGACTTGCCTGCAGAAAATTCTTCAATTTGGTCTTAATTAGCCTCAGAAAATACACAGTCACTACACTTCACAGTACTGGTTTGAAGCGCTTTGAGCTGGCCGCCTGACTTGAAAGGCACGCCACAAAATGTAAGGGTTATTGTTATTTATTATTCAGACGAGGTAACATAAGACAATCCCATCCACGACCAAAGCTGTTCTCCTGAAAATCACTTGTTCATTTGAGCGGAACGAGCAGAATCTATTATCTCTCAAATACTGTGGCCGTTCCTGTGTAAGAATTGCCAGATGGTTTCAGGTGTTTGAAATAGTCTTTGGTTCCCTTAACAAACATTCCTTATCAATTGCCGGCAGGTGTGACATGTACTCTTCCAACCAGCAGAAAATTTTAATTTCTCCGCATATGAAGAGCTTTCAAACAGGCAACAGGATTGAGTCTATCACCAACACACCAGTTAAAAATATAAACAAGGTGCGTATGCGCATGTGTGCGGCGAAATAAACCGCTATCTTACAATTTAGCTCACTTTTCCACCTCATCGCGGTCTGTAAAGCCAAGACCAACTTTGTGTTGTAGCTGAGAATCCTTTCGGCACATTAACACTTCACACCCAGCAAAAAAAAACTGCCTCGTTTAAGGTACCCGCACTGAGAACCAAAATACTTTACTGAGAGAGGATTGAAAGCCTTTTGTTATTCCATTAAATGTGTGTCCTCCCAGGGCATTTGTTCGCAAGACAAGACGATAACAAGGTAGTGTTTGACGTCGTTGTTTTATTAATTTTTTTATCCAATCATAACAGTTAAGGCAGAAGGGTCTTAGGTGCTATGACTCGGTTGAATTTTGAGAAAGGATGTGTACATTATTATTATTAGACATGTTATTTGGCTTATTGCGGATACACAAAGCGGTCAGTGCAGGTTGAGAAGTTCCGGGTGATGCTCTGTATTGAGGGGGATTGCTATCCTTTGGACGCACGTCAAAAGGTCTCCCCACTCACTGTTCAGAACAGCGAAGAGAATGACTCCTGGTGTCCTGGCCAGGAATGTCCCCAATCCATTGGCCAACAACCCTTCGGGTGCCTTACTCAAAACGCTGCCACGTTGCCAACAAGAAAGTCACTTCACTTATTGTTCATTACGGTCACCGTTTGGAGGTGTTTCGACGTCGCCGTTTAGAGGCGTTTCGGCACAATAGGCAGGATAGAATTGCGTGCACTTTCTTTCCTACAAAAGAGTCTCCATTTTATCTGGAGTTTGAGGCACTCAATGTGTTATTATCAAATCAAGCTCTTGTACGTCTAGTACCAAAAGTCAGTCTCAATTTAGAGTGGCCTATTAGCCAAATTGGTGGTTTACCGGTTAATGCCAACATTATCGTGGTTTATCGCTAAGGAGCTCGCAGGCATTGTGTGAATATCTACCCCTTCCATCTCCCCCCCACTATCTCCTTCCCTCACTCCCCCCCCCACCCCACCGCTCCCCACCACACACACACACACACACACACAGCTCCCAAGGCAACAGGAATTTTTTGGGGGTCACAAACTGTCTGAACACAAAGATAAATCTTCTGTCTGCCTCTTCCAATAAAACTCTGGCCTAATCCAAAACAGGTCCTGGGTGCCAATGTTAAAATACCCCTTTGACGTTAAACACTACGAATAGCTTGAATTCAGTGCCATATCCTTCAGCGTTGAAAGCCAGGGCCTTTCAGGCAATTCAGGGGTCTTTCAAAGCAAGGGTCGTAGACAGACAATAATCGCAGGCAAAAGGCTTTCACAGACTGATATGGCGCGACCTCTGACATAAACTGCACCGGTTATTGGCTCACTCATTAATCACAAACCCTCTGTGTAAGTGGCTCCCACCTCACTGTAATCTGCTCTCTATCAGATCAGACTAACCGCCGTGCCTCTCTCTCTCTCTCTCTCTATATATATATATATTGCTCTAGACTGTGAGCACCCTTATCGTGGCTGAAGCAAAGGTTTCGGGGATTTATTACTGCGTGGCTTCAAACATGTTTGGCAGAGATACCAGGAGCATTACCTTCTACGTCACAGGTAAGAAAATACACTGCTTTCAGAAGAGAATTTATAGGTCTCTCGGCCTTTACTGAGACTTACATTCCGATAACATGAAGGGCCGATTTGTGGCGAATAGAAGTTTAGGAATAACACTTACCAGCAAGATCTTTCTCCCCACTCCTGATGGGTAGGGTGGTCCGAGCTGGCCAAACAGCGGGAAAGCTTGCCACACATGGCCCTCAATGGCAAGGTTTTAGCTGGTTAGAGTCCAGCAGTTACCCCAACGCACACATACACAGGGGGTTCCCAAAGACCTGGCAATTGCCATTCCTTTTTGGTATTGGATAAGCAGGAAGCAACCCTCCAACGATAGAGTTGAGGGATGCATCCATTCCAATACATAGGAATTCCCATGTGAGATGTGTGACATGGGCGTGTGGAATTTCTCATTGTACAATTCTTCAACATATTTCTCTTAATCCTCCAAATAATAAGAAGAACCTTTGCATTTGATACAGCGCCTTATCACGTCTTCGAGACGTCTCAAAGCGCCTTCACAGAGTATACTGTAAAGTTGACTGACTGTGTATTTTGTGAGCGAGTGATTGAATGACTGCTCAGCCCAACGCTGTTATCCAACTGGATTCTAGTCCAAAACATTGTTTGAAGAGCAAAGATTGTTGGCAGCGAAGTGCGAAAGCATTTAAACTCTTAAATTTGACGGAAGATTTATTCTGTTTTTACAAGCTGAGTGACGGAGATTTCACAGCGAGGTCTTTTCCTAATATCTCAGTCCTCAAACCTTCTCCTGTCAGATGATCTTAACTTTAATCTGCCCACAAGTCTGCCTCAATGAAATGAACCTTTTAGACAAATATACACAGGAAAGAGTGTAATACCCCTGGACTATGATGCATAAGTTCCTTTCTTTCCTGTGATCTCCCTCTCCCTCTCTCTCTTTCTCTATTATTTTAATATAAGCAATTCGGTACTTCTTAGGAACAGTATGTATAATGATAATTAGTACTTGTTATTAATAATTATTAATTGCCATTAATGATTTCCATTTGATGCAGCGCTTCTAACTTCAAAACGTGCTGTGAAAGGCATTCCATCAAATGCAAATTCTATTTCATTTTTATTCATTATTATTATTATTACTGCATCTCTGTAAGTTCCGTGCTGAAATTTCTGTGTCGTAGAAAAAGCAAGCGGAAGGGATAACACTTTCAGGGAGAATTCCGACAGCGTCAAAATGTTTAAAATTTAAGCCAAAAGATAGCATGTTCGAGGCCTTTGGCCGGTAACGCTACAGTAAAATAAAATGCACATTTTACCGCTGGTTGCCTGAAGTGCATTATGGCACACGAGAAGCTATTAACTTTTCAGCAAGTCATTAAGATAACTGCAGGTTCCCCGTCTGCCCACTGTGGGGGGGGGGGGGGGGGAATCCGAGTGTGTGTTTTTAATTAACTGCGAGAAGAAAATATGACTTTGCATTCCCTGCGCTGCGAGGCACTCTCTCGTACGTGTTGTCAAGCACCAGGCGGTGGAGGGCAGCGGCGGGGGGCGGAGAGGAGGAGAGGTGGGTGTAAAGTCTGGAGACAACCTTACACTGCTTGCTCGGTGAGAGACCATGCAGTGTATTTCCACCTCCTGGAAGCCTCTTGCTCGGCTGGTGAACTGTAAACTGGCTTGAACGGGGTAGAAACAGGATGCAGCTATTAACGTAAGGACGCAAGATGTACCAGATGAGGAAAGGACCAAGATCCATCTCGTTCGCCTGCCACCCTCCTGGCTATTAGCGCCTGGCGATGAAACATTTTAATCGTAAAAAGACCAGTTACAGCAATAAAACTGCGGCCGCTCAGTTTCCTGCGCTCGAGGCTGAGGAGCGTGTAATATAATTCCGCCGCTCTCAGGCTTCTTGAAAAAAAATTTCCCCCACCCCCCACACCCTCATAACGGGGCGTGATGGAGATTGGCTGCTGGTCGTCGCACTGAGCACATGCGAGGCAAACCGCCTGACTTCCGGGTCACCGGATCGTCACTCTCACCGCTTCCCGTGCGCTGCGGCCCGCAGGAAGTGAAGTCAGTGGCAATCGGGCGGCTCAGAAGCCGGCCGTCGTTTAAGCGCCCGAGCGGCAGGTTGCGTCGCGAAATCAAGAGAGAGTTCGCTCGACCGATAAGCAAACAAGCGGCATAACAGGGCGCCGGATAAATAAAAGGGAAGAGAAAATAAGAAGGATGGTGACCATTAACTACGTTATACGTGCATCGGCGTTACAGACGGTTACAAATAGGTTTGCGTTCAAAGGTACTATTGAGTTTTAATATCGTCCGGTATTTCTCCTCCCGTTTCGGTCTTTGGAACGTGTTCAAATTGTGAGCGCCTTATTCCGTCACTGGGCGGCGAGAGGGATTCCTGAGCCGCACTCCGCGGCGAGGCTCAATGAGAAGGCACAGTTGCCACTCTGTCACTGTAGGTTACTGATTGTATCTCCACTGATATTAATTTAGCTCCTACACAGTCGTGAAAGGCAGTAACTCTTCCAAGACAGGACTGCCCCCACACCACCACCCCCCCACCCCTCCAACAACCCATTTGGTAATTAGAGGAAAGTTTAATAACCTTCAGAAACAGCCAACGAAACTGACTAACTGGAATGATAATGCTTTATCGCTTTTAAATATAAATATGTACATATCGTATCTGTTTGGAAACAAGTCGCTTCAGTTTCTGGACAAGTAGCTTCACTGGGTCACCTCATCTCCTCTCCGCCTCGTCTCTCCCAGGTCCGCATCTCCCCATTGCTGACCACTGGGGGTTGGGGGGGGGGGGGGTGGGAGAGGGGGTCTCTCCCAGGCTCATTCACACACACCTGAGTATTGAGCCGCCCCCAGCCTAGTCTCTCCCAGGCCCTCCTGCACCTAAGCTGCTTCTAACCGGTTCAATTCCTCAGTAGTTCTACAATGCGTAAAAGTTAGTTGCTTTTACTCAGTGGAGAAATTGACTACTGGCTAACTAGCACCAGAGAAATCCTGACTGCTTAGTTAGTTAGTTATATAACTATACACTGCTTCTGTCTTATTTTGCTTTAGATGTGCCGTATATCTTGATGATTGAATCAGGGGAAATCGAATCTCGGACCGAAGGGAGTGATCTAATCCTGACCTGCAGAGCGACCAAATATGCCACCAAGAGAGTGGCCTGGTACTACCAGGCGAGTGCCAACTCGTCGGAGGTGCAGCAGAGCTCTCTCACGCACGCAGTTTACACCAACTACTCGGTGGCCCTTTTCCTCACCATCAAGAACGTGACTGCAAACAACACGGGGGTTTACAAGTGCAAGGCGTTCAACGTGATGAGGAAGGAAGTCTTTGAGAGACGCACGGAGCTGCGGGTAGACCGTAAGTAACCCAGGAGGGCGATGGGAGATGGTCAGGGCGGGTGGTCTGGGAGGATGGGATCGGATGATGGTAATCGGAAAGGATCAGTGTTTTATTACAACAATAGTAATAAGTAATCCTTGCATTTGATACGGCGCCTTATCACGTCTTCGAGACGTCTCAAAGCGCTTCGCAGGATGCACTGGAAAGTGAATTGACTTATATTTTGCGGGCGAAACACAGCAAACGATTGCGCACAGCAGCGTCCCCCCACCCCAGAAACAGTCGCGATCAATTTAGATTTAAATTTGAAAAACAAGTCTCGCTCTCCGACGTTTGAAGGTGAATTCCTTGTTGAGCAAATATGTTTGTTGGCCAGGGATGTATTTCCTTGACTGAGGATAGCTTTAACAATGATCATTACATTTAAAGGCTTTTCTGATTAGATTTCCACATGCTGCGCCCATCCAGTCCCGCTTTCCCAACCCCTCCCCTCATTTCATTTGCTTATTCTAGACCAGAAGATTATTTAAGTGCGCACCACGTAGCAGAAGCAAGGAAGGAATTTCACCAGTGAACTGCCAGCGAGCGAGGAATTAGTCTCGGCCTTACTCAGCTGGTCGTGCTCTCACCTCGGAGTCAGAATGTTATTGGGTTCAAGCCCTCACAGATTTGGCTGATGTTCCAGTCCAGCGCTGGGCAGGGAGAGGGGACCACTGCTTTATCGGTGGTGCCGTCCTTTAGGATGAGACGTTAAACCTGTGCCTGTTAACAAAGCTCACAGAACCATTCGAAGATGGAGTGCCTCCCAGTTTCCCATCCCCCCCCCCCCCCGAATACAAAGTGACTGTGGGGAAATCGCCATGCACATATTGGATGCCACTTCCACTCTTCCACTTTCTCCTACACAAACACACACAGGCCTTGAGGCAGTGTTCTGAACTGAAAGGCGCTATACCAAAGCAAAGATTATTCTTATTTTTATTAATAATCTCTGTTGCTTTATTCCCCTCCCCTCCCCCACGCCCCCGTCTGCCCCTGTGCGTCTGGGAGCGTGAAATTCACATTGTCGGGAAGCCTTCCGCCAAAAGCTCTCCAGCCTCTCTCATTCCTTCCAATAAACCCTACGGTGCACCCACACTAGGATGCTGCATTCTCATAAACACAGTGAGTCACTGGATTCCACAGATGTTGTGGTCATCTCATCTTGACATCCTGACGCCCCCAGCACAATCTATTTGGAGAACAAATTCCTCGTCCGTTAATATTTCCCTTCATTTGTCCTGCCGTTAAGACAGCCAGCCAGCCCACGAATAAAAAAAAAAGCAAGCAATCACAAAGCTCTTTGTTTAATTCCCGCAAACACCTGAACAACCAGTTGGAAATGCCAAAGCCCAGAACAGAGACTGAGGAATTTTCACTTCCATGATTAAAAATATGTTCAATGTAAATCTTTGCGTCGCTGTGCAGTTGGGTGGGGGGGGGTCATGTTGGGTTAAGCGCTCTGGGACGCTATCCTGGGTGAGGAGTGCTACATACATGCAAGTTGTTGCTGTCGGAGGATTTAGTTTTGAAAAACATCTACTTTAATGTTCTTTTTTTTATAGATATAAGTAAAATTCATGCGCGTCTGAGATATAGATAGGAGCCCATTTCCCCACCACCACCACCGCCACAGAAACCTTTCTGGGTAAAAGTACAAAGGATGAACTTAGTTCTGGGCTATACTGCACTGCGATGATCCAGATTAGATCACTGGGGCTGCAATAATAACAATAATAATAATTATCTTTGCATTTGATATAGCACCTTACCACGTTGATGAAGTCTCAAAGTGCTTCACAAAATATATTGTAAAGTGGAATTGACTGTATTTTGTGGGCCAACGAGTTAGTTTCATGATCTGATCGACCGGGAGAGCTCAGAAATGCTCTGTTGGCCACTGTTGGTTGGGAAGATGTTTTAAAAATAGACATTGTTCCATCAGTTATATGTCAAGAGAAATTCTCTTATAAAGTGGTAACGAAAATCCACCTTGTGGTTAGCCCTCAGAACTAAACTGACCAAGGTTTGTTCTTATAATAATACAATAATAATCCTTGCATTTGATACAGCGCCTTATCACGTCTTCGAGACGTCTCAAACGCCTCACAGAATATATTGTAAAGTGATTTGACTGTGTATTTTGTGGGCGAAACGGGTTTCCTCACAACCCAGTTCGTTCGTCCAATAATTCTTATGTTCCACACAGGCGCCCGGAATGTCAAAACGCTTCACAGGTCATTGCTGTCAACTGTAGTGACTGTGTCTTTTGCAGTCGAATGCAGCAACCACTTTGCACACAGCGAGAAGCCCACCCCCACCCTCCCAAAAATGACAGGCACGAATTGATAGACCAGTTTATCTGGTGAATCGCTGGCCGGGGCATCGAGAGAAACAGCCTTCTCTTTTCAAATAATGCCATAGGGTTTTTAACGTCCACCTGAATAGGCACAGACGAGCCCCCAGTTTAACGTCTCATCCGAAAGATGGCGTCTGCAACAGAGCAGCTCTCCCCCCAGCACTGCATTGAAACATCAGGAGCCGGGCTGACACCTAGACAGTGAGTTCAAAGCCCACCCCCACCTCCACCCCCCCCCCCCCCAATATGGAGCTTAAACCTCTGAGAGAGCAAGAGCGAAAAATGTAGGATAGTCTGAATTCCGATGATACAATCAAGCAAATTTATTGTGTGGAGCCACGGAGTCTATAAGCAGTGAGGAAGCTGAAATAACATCAGTGGAGATTGCGGTCAATAATTACACAATTTGAACTGCTTACATTCGTACAGCGGCTGCACTCTCACCCCCCACAAACACACACACTCACACTCAGTGACTCAAACCAGACACTTATCCCCGTTGATCTGCTCAACGCTCCCCTCTCCAGTCGAAATAAAAGTCCGAAGGGTCCCCCAAAAATATCAGTAACAACAGACGTCAAACAGGACGATGGCTTAGCTCAGACCTGAGAAGCCCACTTGTCTCCTGTGCTGAAAAGGTCACCACAGCAATCTCTTTTTTTTTAAGGGAATCCTGCCGGACGATATTAATTTAACTCGGCGTTAAAAAAAAATCTCGGTGCCCTTAAGCAAATGTCAACAATTGCGTTGTGTTACAAGTCAATCCACTTGACAGTGTATCCCGTGAAGCCTTTTGAGACGTCTCAATGACGTGATAAGTCGCTGTATCAAACGTGAGTGTTGTTATTATTTTTATGATCGTCACCTCTGCTTTCTCACCGGTTCAGCATCAAACCGCACCATCATTAAGCACTCCAAGACACTACCACATGGATACAACCAAGGTAGCAGAACGAGAGGTCATAGGTTTAGGGCACTTCGAGGACAGACACCAGGTTTCGTTACCCAGAGGGTAATTAACAACTGGAACAAGGTTACCAGGAAGGGTGGTTGAGGCCACGACACTGGGACTCATATTTAAAAAAACTGTGATGTTGTGATGGGATGAAGTAGAGAGGGTACTTTGTGGAGGGGGAGGGCTGGGGGTTGTCAGGAGGTGGGGTTGTGATCTCATGAACCAAATAGTTTCCTCTCGAATTAACCAGGACTTTCACAATGTAACCTTGCACCCTGTTGAAACAACTCACGCTCCTTCTCTTGCGTTTCAGCTAAGACGGTGCCTGTGCTGCAGCAGAACTTGACCAATGTGGAGGTGAACAGCAGCAGCAGGGTGGTGCTGAGGTGTGAGGCCACCGGCCGGCCAATGCCTTCCATCGACTGGTACAAGAACGGGCAGCACGTCCTGTCTGCCTCAGGTATGCAGCCCAAGCACAGCCCCGGTGTCTGACACATGCGGAAACCCCATCGCCATAGCTGAAACTATCGAATCCAAAAACAACAAATTCCCTTTATACAGCGCCTTTCGCATCGGGAGGACATCCCAAGGCGCTGGAAAGTGAAGTGATGCTGGAGTTAAGAGGGGTGGAGGTTAAGGGGTTGTGGAGGTGAGAAAATGACTGAAGACGCGTTCGAAGAGGAAGGTCTTGAGATGAGCCTTGAAGGAGGCAAAGGGAGGGGGCGAGGCAGAGACTGAGAAACCCAGACTGGACCAAGAAAACCAGATTGAGCGTTGTACGACACCTATACATCGAAATGTGCTCTTTTGTCCACACAGCAATCTGCTTACCTAATTCCAGAGAGCATTAGATGCAGCAGATTGGTGAGAGCCAAGGCTTTAGTAGGACTCCAGAGTGTACCTTTGGGCTAACTGCTTGACCATGGTAAAACCATGTAGCTTGCTCATTGAGAGCGCTGTTCTCAAGCTTCCCGGCACTGGTCCGGCGAGGACCACCTGATCCGGTAGGGCTTCGGCTTGCAGGGTTAACAGGAGCTGAGTGGGAAGAATTCTGTCTCCCCTTGACCTGTCTGCCCCTCTAAGTCCTGCCGGCGAGACACTGTCATCAGCGAGGCCCTGGGGATCTATACAGAGTGGTGAAGAGCTTGCACGGAAGGTACTTTAAAAACGTTTTGGAATCCTGATTTATTTTTTAATAAGGAGAGGGCGGGGGTTTTATTTCCAATATATAAATTATATATGCTCCGTGAATCGTGTTGGCCGTTGACACAATTCTTAGCCCTTTCCAATTTTGCCCGTCTGGAAGTGATATTTCAGGCATGCGAGATTGCTGCCTTGGGAATATTTCTCTTCTCACATGTGGAACGCAGAGATGAAGAGTTTCTCTGGCAAACTTGGCCTTTTTGGTGTTGCTGAGCTCCTCATCGCGTGCTCGCCATGAACTTTGACAAATACTTTTGTTTTCACGCATGTTTGAGTGCATTCCAGCCCAAGGGATAATGTCCGTCTGTTTAATATGGCCCCTTCCCCTCCGATGCCCACTGGAGTGTAGAAACTCCCAAAAGAAGTTCGGTCCCAGGACCTCCATGCTTTCTGCCATTTTATTCATTTCCATGAAAAGATTTGGGTCGAAGCAAGTTTTCTTCCATTTCCAATGCCTTTGTGTCTGTCCACATGTCAGTGTCAACTTGACGGTTACACAGTCTCCATAGGAGCATTCATACAGCAAGGCCATTTGGACCAGGTTGCTGTGCATGGCTGAGGCTTGAGGCAGGAGATTTGGTAGGACAGTAGAGCAGGCTGGGTGGGCTGAATGGTCTACTCCTACTCCCATCTTCACACACAAAGGTCTTGCCACGTTAGAGCCGGGCAGGTCGAGGCCACGGAAAGTTCCAGTCGGGGTTTGATATCTCCCTCCCCTCGTTCAGAGTCCACCTCGAGATGTACCTCTTCAGCTGCGTCCACAGTCATTTGTCCCCTCCCTTCCCCCAGCGCTCAAGTGTCCTCCTGAGTTGAAAAGGACGCTGTATAAATGTAAATTGTATTGCGTTAGGGCTCTGAATCCTACTAGACTCCCGCGGCGGCTGTGCTTTTGAGGTTCTGGCCCACGTAACCAGCCAATGTAAATAAATAATCACATTTCAACTTTTCATAAAGGGGTCAGACCACCTGTGAAAACATTCGCTAATTCCAAACTTTGCTCTCGCACCCGCGTCGCAGGGAAACCTGAACAAAGAGGCGATTGGGGGAAGGGTTCTTTTTTTTAAAGAAGTTTAATTGCTACTATTCGTTGCATTTAATACCGGGCCGACAATGCCAGAACGCTTCGAAGCATCTCTTGGGGTATTTGCTGCCCGAGTGTAACGACTGAATATTCTGTAGGCAAATAGGGCAGCCGGATCAGGCACAGCAAAAAGGCTCACAGACAGTCACTGATGCATTGTATCTGGGGAGAGAATTGTTGAGCGGGACACCAGGAGAAACTCCTCCGACGCTGCAACATATCCCCAGTGCTGTACAGAAGCATCAGCCTCAGCTCAAGGCCATGCGGCTTCAACACACAACCTTCTGAACCAGAGGGCAGAGCGCTAACGACTGATGCCTTTGTTGTACATATTAATAACCCGCAGCACGATTTCCTTCCTAAATTCAGGCATTATCCTGGAGCCGGGAAGCAAAACCTTGATCATTGAGCGAGTCAAGTACGACGATGAAGGAGAATACAAATGCCGAGCCAGTAACGAGATGGGCACCGTGGAAACATCGGCCTACCTCTCCGTCATAGGTACCAATCTCACTCCATCGCACGAGCTGACAATGACATGTACTCCCTCTCCCTTCCTCCCGCCCCCCCACCCACAAACACAGCCAACACATCCCCCCACAAACACACCTGCACACACATAGAGTCCACCCCCACAACACACACACAGCCACGCAGATTCCCAACACGCACATACATACACCCAACACACCCCCATCCCCACAAATACACCCACACACACATACAGCCACACCAATTCCCAACACACACACACACACACACACACACACGTGTGCAATCCCAAACACTTGCGGGCGGGTGGCACTGGAAGTTTGCTTTCAGTAAATTTAACTCTACTCGCTCGGTCGGATGGGAGTTTTCCAGTCGATACCTATAAGAGCCTGAGGGTCTGAGTGCTTTTCCCCTTTAATACCCTTTTACTTTCCCTCTTTTTAGGCTCCGATGATAAATCCATCCTGGAGCTGGTCACCGTGGTCTGCACTGGCCTGGCGGCCGCCCTCTTCTGGCTCTTACTCACCCTCTTTATTCGTAAACTGAAGAAGGTATGAGGTCCCCTACGCTATCTGTCCGAGCGCTGGCTTCACTCTCGGTGCAAAGGACAAAGGTGTCGCCCCTGAGAGAGAGGGGGTGGGGGGGGGTTGGAGGGGTGCGGGAGAGCGGGTTGGCGGAGTGGGAAGGGGTTGTAGGGGGGGTCTCAACGTGGAGCATAAACGTTAATCATTGTTGGATCTCAACGTTATCTTTCTCAGCCAACTTCTGTCGATATCAAGACGGGATACCTCTCAATCATAATGGACCCAGACGAAGTACCCCTGGATGAGCAGTGCGAGCGGCTCCCGTACGATGGGAGTCAGTGGGAGTTTCCCCGCGACAGGCTCCGACTGGGTACGTACAGGACCAGGTTCCCTAAGCGTTGCACGATCCACCGCTCTGTGACCCGCGAGGCAAGGATCGAAGAAAAATATCTGCCGTCTCCTCTTGGGGCAGAAGGTCCTGGGTTCAAGCCCCTGCTTTGGGGACTCCGAACGCCTAGGCTTACACGCCAATGCCGTGCCCGGGTGGGAAGCACTGGATTGTCTGCTAAATACGCAGTCACTACACTTTACACTCAAATCCCTTGAATCCCTTTGAGGCATTTTGACGATGTGATAAGGCACTGTGTCAAGGGCAAAAAGATGATGTCACATTGCCTCATTCGGTCCTGTGATTGCCTGACGAGCGCCGTCTCTAACGCAGGTAAAACCTTGGGGCACGGAGCCTTCGGGAAGGTGGTGGAAGCGTCCGCGTTTGGGATTGACAAGTTTTCAACCTGCAAAACGGTGGCCGTGAAGATGTTGAAAGGTATTTCTGGAGGCAGCGCGTCTGTCAAGGTCCCAGTGGCTCCTGTCGTAGAGCCGTCAACGGGGAAAACAGCCTGCAATAGAGATTGACTTGGAATCGCCGTCATCTCATCTGATTTTCCCATGCAGTGCTGGGAGCGCTCTGCATTGTCGGAGGTGCCATCCTTCGGAGAGTCCCGTCACGTCAAAAGATTCCCCTGAAAAAGAGAAGGGAGTTCCTCTCTCTCTCTCTCTCTCTCTCTCCCGGTGTCCTGGTCCCAAATAATATTGTTCGCTCACTTCATGCCTGTTCGTGGGGAGCTTGCTGTGCGCAAACTGGCTGCTGCATTTGCCCACAAAACGCACACAGTCACTACACTTTACTATACGTCCGGTGAAGCGTTTTGGGACGTCCTCCCGACATTAAATGAGATATTACTAAGTGTGAGGATAACTATTATTATTTTATTATTACTGTTGGTGTGCTTCTGTTGAGCCTGGATTACGTCGACCTCACACACTTCACAGGAAGGAAATCGATTTACATTTTTCACATAAGCAACACAATTTTCAGTCAAAATGAGGTTGTTTCTGCCCTCCTCTCCCCCGCCCCCCCCCCCCCCCTTGCCCCATCTCTCCTTCAAATGATTGTTACTGCTCATTACAGTACAAGCGGTGTCCTGTGTGACAAAGAACATTCGCGAACAAGATTTCGAACAACGTTAAGCACAATAGAACGGATATTTACTATTGTTATTTTAGAGGCAGCAAAGCCAAAAGCAAACCTTGAATTAATATCTAATCATTCTCAATTGTTCTCTTATCGGGCTAAGAATAGCGATGGGACCCTGACCAATAACCCCGTGTTTGTAGATGGCGCCCGAAAAAGGTTTCCTCTTAACCTCGTTTTGTTTAACGTCAAGCTCAATCTTTAACAGAGGGGGCCACAACCAATGAGTGCAAAGCCCTGATGTCTGAGCTGAAAATCCTGATCCACATCGGCCATCATCTCAACGTAGTCAACCTGCTGGGAGCTTGCACCAAGACAGGAGGTAAGGGCAGAAGGTCCCTGGAGTTGAGGTGCAGATTAGCCATGATCTGATAGAATGGTAGAATAGGCTCGAGGGGCTGAATGGCCTACTCTTGTTCCTCTGTCCCTTGGACAAGAGGACAGCTGATGGAACCCGTAAAACTAAGCATGTCTCTCAGGACCTGGAGGACGGTTGCAGAAGGTTAAGCACATCAGCTGCATGTACTTGGTAGCATTTACTCTCTCGCCTCTGGATCAGAAGGTTGCGGGTTCAAATCCCCCACGTCGGGACTTTGAGCTCACAGCCTCGGCTGACCCTCCAGGCACACCGAGCGATCACTGCATTGCCAGGGATTCCGTCCTCCAGATCAGATATTAAGCTAATGTCCCATCTGCTTAATGGGACGTTAAACACCCAATGGCACTATTTGCCAATTTTTTTTTCTCTGGCTTTCATTTTGTCGGCGGTCAAGTCTGAAGAAAGATTGTTGTTGTTGTTGCCGTTGTTGAATATCTCCTTGGGAATGAGCTAATGGATGCCTGGTGATTCCCTTAACCCTTATTCTGATCGGCTGTGTTTCTTACCAGGCCCACTGATGGTGATCGTGGAGTATTGCAAGTATGGAAACCTGTCCAACTATCTCAGGAGCAAGAGGAACGACTTCATTTTAATCAAGGTAAAAAGGCAAAAAATCGGAGTGTGTCACTGAGCCCTTAAAACCACATTCATTACAATCACAGAATGCTATAGTACAGAAACAGACCTCAAATGTTCTCATGGCCTTAGTCTAAAGGCCGTACCATTGATGGGCTTAACGTTTGAGATTGTGCAGAATGTTGGAAATTCAAAAACTGGCTTTCAAGTTATGACTGAATTTAAGAATTTTCCACAATTTTGCACTGTCTTAAATTTTAAGACAAAATGTTCTTAGAGCTAAGATTGGGTAAGATTTGGAGCCTCTGGTTTGCTTTTAGTCATGCTAACGACAGTTCATGAACCTTGTGTGTTTTGTGTGTGTGTGTGTGTGTCGGTGTACAGTGTCAAGAAAGTGTCAACCAGACGGAGAAGCTGATCGATGAGCTGAGTGCGGAGCTGATGGAGAGTATGAAGCGGAGGTTGGAGAGCGTGGCGAGCACCGGCAGCTCGGCTAGTTCGGGTTTCGTGGAGGATAAAAGTTATAGCGACGCAGAGGAGGAAGAGGAAGGTAAGCGAGGACCTTCCTCACACAGAAGACTATCGGGAATTGGGCGAGCAGGGTGTGTCCCTCCAGGGAGAGAGAGAAAGAGAGAGCGAGCGCATTCCATTCCAGACACTGTTGAATGTCCGCGAAAATATCTCTGTTGCAAATTTTTTCTCATGACACAAGAGCATTTCCTTTTGAACCAAACTGAGGAGACCGCTCGAGGCTGTAAATAGACGTGAAGAAGGAAAAAGCTTCCTATTAATAGTTTATGGGGTCATCCAGGTCCCTGGGACAAATCTGACCGCATTGTGTGTTTTAGTGATGTGACCATCGGCAAGCCTGATTAGCGTTATCAAAAGTAATAGCCTTGAACGGGCTTGGAAACTCAACCTTGTGTCCCACGCTGAACTCAAACGGAAATTAACCCTTTGCACATTGCAATGACATTCCAGCATCCATATTTTCTGGGGGAGAAGGGGAGGGGGGGGGGGGGAAGTGTCCCGTTTTATCCCTCTTTTATGATACGAGTTATTTTTAAGAACAGCAGAAAAACAGCTTCTGAAATAAGACTAAATGGAAGAATTTATTTGCCTTCATGAAAGTCTCCAGCGATTCCATCAGGTAAACAGCCTTGATCTCTCTTCCAGACTCTGACGATCTGTACAAGCGAACAATGACAATGGAAGACCTGATCTGCTACAGCTTCCAAGTCGCCAAAGGCATGGAATTCCTGGCCTCTCGGAAGGTAGGTCATTCTTCAGACAGAGAATCCTTCAACGCAGAAATAATTCATCAAAAAATGTGGCAAAGAAATGCCAATTTGTCAAAGAAAAAATGAACATCTGAAAGCATTGCACAAATAAAATTAAGTGTTGAATTCCAATTTCCTGTTGTAATTCCAGTGTATCCACCGGGACCTGGCAGCCCGTAACATACTGCTGTCAGAGAACAATGTGGTGAAGATCTGTGATTTTGGCCTGGCTCGTGACATCTACAAAGACCCAGACTACGTGCGGAAAGGAGACGTAAGTTTCACAGATACTGGCGTTCTATCCCAAAACTCTGATTAATGTTCATTCCCTCAGGTGTCAGCCTGGCTCATTCGATAGCACTCCCGCCTCCGAGTCAGAAGACTGCGGGTTCAAGCCCACAGTCCATGCGAGGACTTTCACCTCACATAGTCACCACAGTGTAGGCACTCTAATACAGTTCTGGGGGAGCACTGTATTGTTGGAGGTGTCGTCCTTCAGATGAGGTCCTATCTACGTGTTCAGGTGTATGCTGAAGATCTCGTGGCGTTGATTGAAAGAGGAACAGAGTTGTTTCCAGTGTCCTGATCAACAAGCCCCACATATAAAATTGGTCATTCACTTCAACGGGACATCACTGTGAGCAAATTGGTTTACCCACAAATGCACAGTCACTGCACTTCGCAGTGAATCCTGTGAAGCGCTTTGAGACAACGCCCTCTGACCTGAAAGGTGCTGTACGAATGCAAGCGTTCCAGGATATCAGAGGTCTCTGCATTTCTTTCCTTTACAGGTCAGACTCCCACTTAAGTGGATGGCACCAGAATCCATCTTTGATAAAATCTACACGAACCAGAGTGATGTGTGGTCCTTTGGAGTCTTGATGTGGGAGATATTTTCTTTGGGTAAGAGAGAAAAAAAATTAAGCAGCAAGCGACGGCAGGCAATATTACTGACACGCTGGGCTCTTAAATGTAAAATAAAAAATAACAGGTAAAGTTAAGTCCTATTTTCACGTTGGACTGGAGTTACTCATAAAGACCCAGTGCACAGTTTCTTAGATGTCCTGAACGGAGAGTGTATAGGGTTTACAATGCCCAATGAGTGCCTATTGGGCCAAAATTCCAGCTAGTCTTAGCCCGCAAGACATTTTTCATCTCAAATTTTTTAACTTTCACAGAATTGTGGAAGACTCATAAATATATTTTTCAAAATTGGGTCACTCAATCCACGAGTGTTTGTGAGACACTGCTGTGCGCAATTGGCTGCCACGTTTCACCACTTTATAGTATATCCTGTGAAGAGTTTTGAGACGTCTCAATGATGTGATAAGGCGCCATATCGAATGCGAGGATTAGCTTTATTATTATCAATTCCGGTGTTAATTTGAACCTGCAGTTAAACAGAAAACAGTTTCCAAATTAAGATAGGATTGAAGAGATTTCCTCAGGTCCACTGAGAATCCGAAATTTTAAGCCAAATGATTTTTAGGCCAAGGCTCGATTAGAGATCCAACAAATTCTTGACTGAAGATTTCATCGCCGCCGTTTGTTATGTAATTAATAAGAACATCCTATCGAGAGGAACTTACTTCAGTCAACCCTTTGGATTGATTTAGGCAATTTTTTTAAATTTCCTTTTAACCTTTCACGTCCAACCTCACTGGTAGTGCCAAGGCCTGAGACAATGGTATTTTCATTAAGATACCGGCTTTATCCAAAGGACAACAATGGATTATTAATCTCCTGGCTGCAAACAGACCATTGGGCCCAACCATTCCATCCCAGTGTTTAACTCTGCACAAACCTCCACTCCTCTTAACCCCATCTTCCTATTACCCCCTCTATTCCTCCTCTCTGACATGTGCAATGCTCTATTCCAAAAGTTGCGCAGCTGGGGGCAATTGGGGCGAGGAGCGGGGAGGAGGGGAGAGCGGACATGCAGTAAGCGTTCTGATAAATACCACGGATGATAATTAGCACGACACATACCAGATTTCCCACTCACCCCATAACCCTGCTAATGGCTTTTGCAAATGTAGAAATCACCTTTTTAAGGGATTCCAACTTGACGTGAATACTTTGTGGTGCGTTTATTGCGGGGCAGAAGAGGGCAATGCCGTTGCTCGCAATTGCTCCCCAGCCTTCATATGGTTCCTTCAGGAAATTGCAATGAAGTGAAGGCGGGGAGGAGAGGGACGGGGTGATGGGGGGTGGGGGGGTGGGGGGGGGTAGGGGTAGGGAAGCAAAAGGAATGTTCTTTTTCGTTCACTTCTTACAGATTTATTTCACTTTTAAAAGCTCGGTGTTCTGAAGTTCGCTCTGTTAAATCACCATTGAATCTGAGGGCAGAAAGAATTAGAGCCAAGTTAAATATTTTTATTGTTGTGCGAGGCGAGGTGAGGCGACGAGTCAGTGCTATTCCCTCATCCAGGATTTGAATTTTAAACCCGAGACTTTTTTTTCCCCAAGTTCGTTGCCAAGCAAAACCCTGCCTCGGAGACCGACTAACAATGTGAAACCAGGGAGCTTTGCTGTCATGCAACGGTTTATCTCTGTGAGACGTAGCTGTAGCGCAAAAACTTGGCTGCTGCCTTCTCCTATAAAACAACACAGTTTGGCTTTGCAGAAAATCCTGTGAAGCGCTTTGAGATGTCCTCCCAATAAGGTGTTGCATCAAATGCCAAGATTGCTATTTATTGATCAAATAACATGGGCAGCCGTGAAATCTTCAGTCAAAAAGAGATCGTTTGGCTAAAAATTTAGGATAAGGCAGGACATTGGGAGATTCTTAAAGTGTTAATTTGGAAGTTTCCTTATCCTGGTCCTGTTGTCTTTGCATCAGGAGCCTCGCCGTATCCAGGGGTGCAGATTGATGAAGAATTCTGCCACAGACTGAAAGAGGGGACGAGGATGAGGCCTCCGGAATATTCTACACCAGAAATGTAAGAGTTCAGTTTAAAGCCTCCTGCATTTCCTTCTCCTTCGCTCTCCCCCCAGGACCCCATTACTGTCAATTAGTGACAAATGTTCTTGGGGAATACGCATTGTGACAATCATGTAACGTACATTGCTCTCTCAGCGGATCATTGAACAGCCTAATAGTGACGGTAGAGTTAACTCAGCACCGCGGATCAATGAAGGTCAAGACCATGGAACTTGTACATATCCCCCATATACACCACCAGATTCTGCAAAACACACAGTCACTGCACTTTACTGTAAATCCTGTGAAGTGCTTCAAGACTTCCTCCTGAAATGAAAGGGTGTAGAGCAAATGCAAGGATTATTAGTATTAGTATTATTACTGTCTGATACACTAAGAGAAGAACAAGAGGACACTGGTTTAGGGTTCCAACAACCAATTTCAAGACAGACACCAGGAAGTATTTCTTTACCCAGAGGCTAAATAACGACTGGAATAGGTTGCAAGAAACGGGTCTTTAAGGCCAGAAAACTAGACTGAAAAACAGCCAGCTTGATCCTGTGATGGTGGGTTTGGCGTTCTACTGGACAGGCCAAAGAGAATGTCTTATTCGGAGCTAGTCTTGAGATCTTGTGTGAGAAGTTCACGTCGTTATGAGATGCCAGCGTTGGTTTGAAATGTCTTGTGTATGTGGGGTAGGAAGCTAACACTCTGCCTTTGCTTGTGTTGTAGCTACCAAACCATGTTTGATTGCTGGCATGGAGACCCAGGAGAAAGACCTACATTTAGCGAGCTGGTGGAAAAGCTGGGAGACCTTTTACAAGCGAATGTGCAGAGGGTAAGAGCAATGTGGTTTGGAGAATGACTGTGCAAGGCATATCCCTGAGGACTCGGCCACTTTTTATTTCCCCCTAAATTCAACAAACAAAATCCTTGCATTTAATGTCTAAGCACTCTGAGACACTACCCTCGTGGAGGGCGCTATAGAAGTGCAAGTTGTTGTTGTTGTCGCGCCTTCTCACCTTGGTGAAACATCTCAAAGTGCTTCCCAGCGATTTACCACAAAGTGCAGTGACTGTGTGGAGTAGTGACCTACCCTTTCCCCATGACCCCTATAATTTACTCTAAAATCATAATAATGTGGTCACTCAATCCACAACTGTCTGTGGGACGCTGCTGTGCGCAATTGGCTGCTGCGTTTCACCCACGAAATATACAGTCAATTCACTTTACAGTATATTCTGTGAGACGTCATTGAGACAACAACAACAACAACAAGATTCCATTTATAAAGCGTCTTTCACGTCAGGAGGACGTCCCAAGGCGCTGTACAGTTGGGTCAGGACCCGACGTCTAATTATTATTATTAGTAGTAGTTGTAATTGTGACCTGGCTGAATGTTCATTTTCTAACTTACTTTTCTTTCTCTAAGGATGGAAAAGACTACATTCCGTTGAACACTATGACACAAGAAAACGGGGATTCAGATTTACCCGCCGCAGGTCCCAGCCTTGTGGATGACCCACCAAACGCAACCGTGAATCGCACGAGCACAGGAAACATTCGGGTAACGGAAACTCTGTTGTTCGAACTAATCCAAAAAGTTGCATTCGAGATAAATGGTGCCCTCACTCGTCCCTGTGTTTGTTCTGGCCCGAAACCTATGCTTGCCTTATCATTGGCACATCCCATCACTAAGCGTTGCTCTGTATTTGCCTTGCCCTCACTTCTGTGCTTGCTTACTCCCCAATCCAGTATCCGCTGCCTCCACTCCTGCATGTTCCTCGTGCCCTCCATTCCATCATCGGTGTCCGCACTTTCAGCCGCTGCACCCCGAAACTCTTTGAACACTCTTCCTCTATCCCTCATTCTTGCCCCATCCTTCCCCCTCTTCGGGTCGCGCCTGAAGACTTCCCTCTTCGACCGTGCCTACGATCACCTACCCTGTCCTCCCGGCTCAGCGTCATGCTCCTCCGCTATCGAGCGCTCTGGGACTCTACCCTATTTGAGGGGCGCGATACAAATGCAAGTTGTTGCCTCTCTCTGTTCACAGACTCAACGGCAGTAACGCAGGGAAGAGACCGCTCAGCATGAAAACATTCGACGAGGTTCCTGTGGAAAACAAGACCGCTCTGCTGCAGGAGGTAGGTTTCCAGGGTAGGTAGGGTCCACCACTCCGCCACGCAGACTCCAAGAGCTCACGTAAAGAGCGGACCGGAACCTCGAAGTTAAGGGATCAACGCAGGGGCGAGCAAAGATCACGCACAAGCTGTTCCGTCTTTGATCAATTCCACCGTGATTCCTGATTACTATAATAGTATTATTAGCATTGGAACCCAGCATTAGAATAAACATTGTTTCCCCTGGCCCCGAGAGATTATAATCAGTCCAGGAGAGCAGAGCTCAATCGGAATCATTTAGCTGTTTCCTACGATCCCGTACCAATGAAGCTCACACATCGTGATTTAAAAGTGCAATTTTCCACGTCCACTAAAGCATGACTTTGTCAAGTTGGGCTCATACCAGGGGCCAAGTCTCTTCAAAAGGTCAACAGGTCCATGAGCCAAGTTATGGCATGATTGATTGCTTCCATACTCATCTGCTTTGCAGCCTGTCGGACTGTTCTCTGATGAAACCAGCCGAATAGTGCAGAGCAACAGGTCTGTTAAGATCTCAGCCCTGATCTGCTGGAATTAATTGGACTGATTATTTCTCGCAAGGGGTCTGAACACTTAGGCGAAAGGTTAATAAGAGTAGGCTTGGCTTTGGAGCGAAAGGAATGTAACAATAATGGAAGGAAGAAGCCAGGGGAGGACTAATGGGTCTTCAGCAGGAGTGTGTGTCAGCCTCTCACCAGCTTGCCGTGTGCTCTACAGGAAAGCGAAACTGACAGTGGAATGGTGCTGCCCTCCAACGAGTTTAAATGTCTCAGGCGTCTGGAAACCAGATCTCGACCTTTTGGGATAATGTCTCTGGCGTGAGTACAGCTAAATACTCCAGTGTCGTCTCGATGTGTCTCAGCGTGGCGTGGACAGGCCCGCCCCCCTGTGGGGTGCAATGGGTTATGGAACGGAAATAGGCCATCTGACCCAACTAGTCCATGCTGGTGCTTTTCTCCACACAAACCCCCACTCTTCCCATTCCCCTCTCCTACCCCCTTCTTTTCATTAGAGAGCAGGAAGACGGTTGAGCGAGTTTTCTGGCAGGACAAGATCAAACGGGAGCCCAAGAACCTGCTTGATCCCAACCTATCTGGCTGTTTGTGAACCACAAACAAGGCTGTTGGCCTAGGGAGGGATATCAGCTTCAGGAGTGCGTGTGAACAGAGGCAGTCACTCCGTGTTCCCATGTCTCCTCTCTTGCGTCCGCTGGGAGCTAATGCTGCCGGGATGTTTCCATCGCAGTGACAGGTCCAGGGCCACTGTTACCACATGGAGTGTTCCTGGAAGAGAGGAGATCATGACTCACATCACAGGGAACTGTGCACAAAAGTGTCTGTTCCCCGACCTCTCCGTAACCAGTACTTTGAAGGAATTTCCCTTGCACATTCCTGGCTGTTGAGTGCATCGTTCCATTTGATTGACCCTGAGGGTTTTTTTATTCCCCCCTCCCCAAACGGTGGGGCCTCAGATCAGTCAGCATCTGATTCCACCCCCCCACCCGCCCCCCTGCACCACCTCCCCACCCCCTCCCTGTTTGCCTGTGTAAACAGGGTGAAAGGGCGTAATATCAAGAGAGGAGTATCACAGTCAGAAAGTGGCACTTAGGGCTGACATTGCCTTTTCCTTTGCACTGTTTTGGAGGATTACCAAAAGCACGCAGGCATTTAAGAGACAGTGTCTCATCATACTCCTGTTAGTGTGTGTGTGTGCGTGTGGGGGGTGGTGGGAGTGGGCCTTTCATGAAAAAGTCACCTGGCAAAACATGTTTGTCTGGAGTGGAATGAGCCAAGTCCAGGGTTAGCCCTGGATCACAGGTGACAGACTGAGCCGGGCTGATCCCTCGTCTCTCTTACACGTGTGCGCGTGTGGATGTGTGAGTGTGTGAGTGAGAGAGAGGGAGACTCAATAAGCATCTGTCATGGCCCCTTGGACATCTCACACTCAAAAGTACAATTACATTTTATTTTGTTGTTTCAAGGGGAAAAACCCAGCTCTTAGTAAATGCCCGCATGCCTGCCAATGAGCTCCGAGATAGAAATGGGAGATCGCACAGTTCAGGTCAATTGAAATTGTTGCAAACAGTCTCGAACCACCAAGTTTGCTCAAGGATTCAAGAGGTTTAAACCCAATGGTTAATGTCAACCGCACTGTTGGCCATGATGTATTACAAGGGATAACATTAAAAACATTAAATGTCAAAAGTAAGAGCAAAGCGTTGGACAGAAGTTTTAATTTAAGTGATGGACATGTTTCCTGCCCTTGAGGCAAATTCCAATTATCTCATTGATTGGGAGTCTGTAAGGCTCACAGAATCTCTCATTGTGTGGTCAACATCCCTAATATCATTGCTTTCAACCCACACTCCAGTCGTCTGGAGGGCTTCCAAGCAACGCAGATACTTTTGTGATTTCCCTTGTACCTCTTGACAAGTTTAATGCCTGAGTATTAAAGGCAGAAAATCTGGACTGAGCCTGGCTGTCAAACGTCAAACAGAAGCTTGAACGAAGAGTTGCCAAGCTGCCGATACAGCAGGAATATGCCAGCTCTTTGTGACCGACCATTTGTTTGCCAGTCCTGAACCTCTCGGGTTAACCCCTTCAAAAACTTTTATTGAAAAAAATAACACCACCTGTAATTTGGTCACTCAATCCACGACTGTCTGTGGGACGCTGCTGTGCGTAATTGGCTGTCGCATTTCGCCCACGAGGTATACAGTCAATTCACGTGACGGTATAGTCCGTGAGGCGCTTTGAGACGTCTCGAAGACGTGGTAAGGCGCTGTGTCAAAGGCAAGGATTATTATTGTTGTTCTTTCTCCCTGTCATTTTCGGTTTGATTGAACCCCTCGCCCTCTTTCCCTCCCACTGTCTGCTCACAGAATGAGAGCCGTGAGCAAAAGCAAGGAGTCGGTGCTCTCCGAGGTGGAGAGCCAGACCAAGCCATACCAGGATGAGCTGTGCGGGACGGTGGATGATGGCCTGGACTTTTCGATGGAGGACGCAGTGCTGCTCCCGATGGACCAGACTTTGGAGTGTCACAGCCCACCCCCGGATTACAACTCGGTTGTCCGCTACACGGCCCCACCAGTGTGAGTCAACGCAAGGTTTTTCGACGGACCGTCAAGAGAGTGTGCACGGCAGACTCCCACTCAGGATGCAGACCGTATTTACAACCGCCTGAATCCGTGGCCAACTCAAATATTTGGGGCTAAAAAAGGGAAACACATAGAATCGCACAAGCGCAGGTGTCAGATTTACCTGTGATCTGCCCTCCACCACCCCAAACTCAATGGCAAACTGCTACACTATTCGGGGTTGTTCCTAGTTAGGCTCCCCCCACCCCACTCCCACCACAGCCCCACTCCCCCAACCCAGTCTCAGGAAGATAACAGTCGTTGCTTGCAGTAAATCGTGGCGATATGTTCCTATTTATAAATCTTTTTTTTTGGGGGGGGAGGGGGGTGCGAGCCCTGGGAATGTTTCCCCCATGATGATTCCCTCGGAAAACCGATCACGTTTCAATTTGCTAGCGAAACCTTCCAATTGTCTTGTTAGAAACGACAGAGCGATTCAGCGAAGCACTGCAACTGATATGATTCTATTCCCCCCTCCACACACACACACACACACACACACCTTATCCTTACTGGAAGAATGTTGTGCATTTCCGGATATTTATGACTCTTAAAGTCACACTAAGCTCCAGGAGAGCTTAGTGTGAGAGGAGAATAAAAGGGGAAAGGGAGGAAGAGGTGTGTGGCGGGGGGGTGGGGAGAGAGGGGGGTTGAGAGATGAGAGGGGAAGGGAACAGAAAGGAATCTGGTTGAGAAGCAATAAGAGGCATTTGCACTGACGGATCAAATCACAGCTTCTGTTCTGATTTATCAATCCACTAAACGTCGTGTCTACAAGGACAGGACTGTTAACATCATTTAGACCAACAGAAATTGGATGAGCTTCCACCTTCCAATAGGGAAGCAGAAATCTTTTGTTTCTACTCCAAACAATCACAATAATCACAATCACAATAATAATAGTTCCAGGTGTTTCCAGTTGTTGCTCCATAAATTCTGAGGAGCCGGCTCGGGGAGGAAAAGAAAAGGAAAGGAAATTATTAACAGCTGGTGAGAAGGGGAGGGGATTATTCCGCAGCCGATTGAAAGCAGCCGGAACCAAACTATGTCAACTCCACAAGGTCTCCATCGGGACACGGACACACTCCGGGGACCATCCAGGCAAATGCAAGCATCGATAGGATCCCATACACAAAACACTTCACGCCAACTGTACAGAGTTAGGACAAAAGAGCTGTAGACATTCGCAGCACAGAAGGAGGCCATTCAGCCCATCGTGCCTGTGCCGGCATTCTGAAAGAGCTCTCAGTTTAATCCCGTTCTCCTGCCTTCCTTCCTTCCCCCCCCCCCCCCCCACCCCACCACCCCTCCTCCCGCAACACACACACACCCACGCGCCCTTTCTAGGTATTCATCTCGTTCGCTCTTCAGAGCGAATAAGGATTCCTCCTCAACCACGGTTCTGAGTCACGCAGGTTCCACATCCTAGCAACCCTCTGTGCGTCGGTGTAAAACAATAATCTCCTATGTAGTTCATTTGGTAATTATTGTTAATTCTGTGCACTCGAGTGACTGACTCATCGACCAGACGATATAATTGCTCCTCCTTCAGCAAAACCTGTGTGGAAGAACAATTTGTTCTGATGGGTGTGAAAAATCAATCCCCTCTCCCTTCCAACCCACCCTCCCCTCCCACCCCCACCCCCACCCCCACCCACACACCTCCACAATATAGGAGTCAGAGAGACACCGTCATTCATTCCCAATAAGAACTGGCAGGATTGTATCCTGATGCAGATCAGAGGAGGATGTGCAGAACAGCTAATTGCGGACTAAACCCATGTGTCGCTGCACACATGCAATGTGGGCTAACGTGCTTGTGACCGTTATAAAGGGACAGAAA